AAAAAAATAAAAATTGAAATGATTGAATCGTAGTGTAGCGTGTTGTGTTCCCAGTTCCCGTACATCGTATTTCAATGTCTTGTCACGTTTACAGTGAGTAGAAATGTTTTTTTGTTTTGACTTGCCGGCGCGCGCCTTTCACAATATTGATACTTTCAATGACATTAACAAAACACACTGGTTGTCGGGCATCGTTTATCACTAATTGCTTACTACTTGCGGTAAACGGGACACTCAACCCGGAATAGTAGTAAAAACAAAATGGCCGGTCCCAGTTACGATGTTGTACACATTTTACTTCGGTAATTTTGTTTTTCTGCTTATTTTGTTTTTCAGGCATATTAATTGCAACAACTATGTATATCGGCAACACAATCAATTGAAATACTGTTTAATGTCACAAGATGTATGATTTTTGGGTCTTGGTTTTGCACGTCATTGTATTCACGACGGCGCCATTTTGGATCACATCATTCTCTCAGTCGTATAATTGTAACGCTAGTTTCTGTTCCAATTACAAGGGAATGGGGTGATTCTCCAATTCCATTTTTATTTGGTGGTTAAAGAAACTACTTCTGAAACTAATGGGGTGGTTTAATTCTGTTTGGGATGTAATAAAGAGTTTAATTTCATAGACAAATTCTGTTTACGTTCAGACAGCAGTTGTGGAGTTTTGACAGGAGTGTGGGCGTGGCAATCATGCCTCGTAAAAGGTTTCTCCGGTATGTTTTCGGCACTGGTTGAACTACATGGTTTATCTGTATGCACTTCATGGATTTCTTCCTCAATGACGTCATCGTCGAATTCGACAAAATCGCCGCAAGCCTTTCACATGGTAATGTTGTGATCGGTGTGCTGGTAATGACGCATGCGCAATGACCCAAATCGCTAAGTGTCATGGTAACTTCCAGTGGGTTAATGATATGCACGACTACATCAATGGGAGTTTATTTTCGGGATAACTTGGCGTAAGGTGTCAACGATTTATTTGCCTGTTACGAGGGTTAGTACAATAGAATACTAAGCGTTTCCAGACCGGTGATAGAGGGACTGTGGTTTACCGTAGTTTGTGAGCAGTCGTGAAATAACCATTTAAAACCGAACATTTCTATAAGGAAGCAAATAACACCGAATAAACGGCAAGGTAAAGACTATGTCTAATTATAGTAAATACGTACTGCGTGCGTGACTCGAACCGGCGCTCGCGTACGAAATCAAACAGTATCGACGTGACCGCAGAAATGTAATGGGGTATTTCCTAGGTTATCAGCGGCCCGAACACAACATACGCCCTGTGTTTGTTAAATTTATCAAAATTTGATAATCAATCGTTGACACCTTACGCCAAGTTATCCCGAAAATAAACTCCCATTGATGTAGTCGTGCATATCATTAACCCACTGGAAGTTACCTTGCTGCAGTTTATGCAGCTCTCTTGGTCGTGGTATACGTTGCGGGGCGACCAGAGAGCTGCAGTTCCCTTCCCTAAAGAAATGCACAGATTTTTAAATATGCCAGTTATGTATCATTAAAATTGTGATTGTAATAAAATTACCTCGACTTGCAGGGAAAAA